TATACCTGATAAGAGACATATCCAGAATATAGAAAGAACTCCTACAACTCAATAATGAAAAGAGCAAGAACCCATTTGACAAATTAACTAATAACCAAATGGAATAAACTTGATACAGCAAAATTATGGATGAATCTCACAGATATTATACTGAGTGAAATAAATCTTACCCAAAGGGATATACATAGTACGATTCAATATATATGAAGTTATAGAACAGGCTAAACTCCGAAGTATGGTTCCCTCTGGGGAGTGGAGGGGAAGGAGGGACATGAGGGTGTTTCCTAGGCTGATAATAAGTTGTACTTTGAAATAGATTTGCATTACACAGATGTATACCAATTATGGAATAGTAAAGAAAATTTATGCATTTTACTATAAATTTCCCCTCAAAAGAAAAGAACAGTAAACAAATACTGAACACTTATTCAAAATATGCATGCTAAAGTGGTTAGCGGTGAACTGTACCTTTCACACAGTTCTCCAAACTGCAAGCTAAATTCACATAGCAATCTATCAAAAAGTATTTTTATTGCTCAACAGGTGAAGAGTTGATTAGGTTTCTTCAATTTTGAGGCAAAGAAAAGAATTGGAAACTGTATGATTGATGCCAGTTGTTACAGTCATTAGCTTTCTTGGTTTCTGGGAAGGATACCAAAAGGCTTCTCTAAAATGTATCAAAGACTAGGGTTTAGCAAATATTTTCTATAAAGTGTCAGATAGCAAATGTTTTAGGCTTTCAGGCCATATGTTCTATGTCACAACTACTCAGCCCTACCATTGTAGCGCAAAAGCAGCTCTAGACAATACATAAATGAGTGAGCATGGCTGTGTTCCCAGTAAAATTTTATTTACAAAAACAGGTAGCAGGGGCTTCCCGGTAGCACAGTGCTTAAGAATCCGCCTGCCAATGCAGGGGACACGGGTTCGAGCCCTGGTCGGGGAAGATCCCACATGCCGCGGAGCAACTAAGCCCGTGTGCCACAACTACTGAGCCTGCAGTCTAGAGCCCACGAGCCACAACTGAGCCCATGCGCCACAACTACTGAAGCGCACACACCTAGAGCCCGTGCTCCGCAACAAGAGAAGTCAGTGCAATGAGAATCCTGCGCACTGCAACGAAGAGTAGCCCCCGCTCAGCAATGAAGATCCAACACAGCCAAAAAAAAAAAAAAAAAACAGGAGGCAGTTTCTGTTTGGGATGATGAAAATGTTTAAGAGATGGATAGTAGTAATGATTGCACAAGATTGTGACTGTACTTAATGTCACTGAATTGTGCACTTAAAAGTGGTTAAAATGGTAAATATTATTATATATTTTTTACCACACAAAAAAAAGCATATGTGGCAGGCCAGATTGGGCCTGTGCCATAGTTTGTTGACTCCTGACAAAGACTATTATACCTATTATCTTTAACTTAGAAGCATCTTGTTTAAATCAATTTACTCAGATGGGCTTGAGAAAATCACAATATTGCTTATTTCATTGAACTTTTACAATATTTTTGGTAAAATACTTTTATCACAAGGATTAGGTTTATTTTCAGCTAGACCTTAGAGCCAAACATTTAGCTTATTCAATTTATGGAAAATGTCTGTCATATAACCTAATTGACAAAGCCAGTCATTATTGTCAAATCAGCAAAAAAATTGTTTTTGTCAGAAAAAGTCTTACTTCATTTTTCAATTCATATAAAAGTGTTAATATTTAAGTCAAGGAATAATATCAAAGCTGCTGAGGAATAGATTCCATAACATTTTATTAGATGATTATTAAGAGCAGTCTGGTCAAGATTGAAATGATTTAGATCTAAAACAATGTATCCATTTTTATAAATTATAAAAAACAAGGTAATACACTTATTAAATCAGTTATCAAAAACCTCCCAACAGAGATTGGGATTGATATATATACACTAATATGTATAAAATAGATAACTAATAAGAACCCACTGTATAAAAAAATAAATAAAATAAAATTCAAAAAAAAAACAAAAACAAACTTCCCAACAAAGAAAAGCCTAGACTTGATGGCTTCAATGGTGAATTCTACCAAATATTTAAAGAAGAACTAACATCAACCCTTCTCAAACTTTTCCCAAAAAACTGAAGGGAGGGAACACCTCTAGACTCTTTCCATGAATCCAGCATTACTCTGATCCCGAAACCAGACAAAGTCACTACAAGAAATATCACTTATGAATACTGATAAAAAATCCTCAACAAAATACTAGCAAACCAAATTCAGCAGTATATTACAAGGATTTTACACCAAAAGAGATTTATTCCTGGAATGCAAGGTGGTTCAGCATACAGAAATCAGTGTAGTACACTACATTAAGAAAATAAAGGGAAAAAACACATGATATCTCAATTGATGCAGAAGAATAATTTGACATAATTGAACACATTTCCATGATCTAAAAAAAACCTCAAAACTAGGAATAGAAGGAAACTATCTCACTATAATAACAGAAAAACCCACAACGAACATCATACTCAATGGTGAATGACAAAGTTTTCCTCTAAGATCAAGAGCAAGGCAGAGATGTGTGCTTTCACCACTTCTGTTCAACATAGTACTGGAAGTTCTAGCCAGAACAATTAGGCAAGGACAAAAAATAAAAAGCATCCAAATTGAAGGAAGAAGTAAGATATCTGTTTGCAGATGATATGATCTTATACATAGAAAGCCCTAAAAATTCTACAACAAAACTTGTATGACTAATACATGATTTCAGCAAAGTAGCAGGATGTAAAGCCAACACACAAAAATCAGTTGCATTTCTACATATTAATAATGAGGAATCTGAAAAGGAAATTACAACAATTTCATTTACAATAGCATCAAAAACAATAAAACACTTAGGAAGTAACCAAGGAGGTAAAATAATTGTACAGTGAAAACTATAGAACATCAATGAAAGAAGTTAAACAAGACATAAATGAATGGAAACATATCCCTGTTCATGGATGGAAAACCTAATAACTTTAAAATGTCTACAATATGAAAAGAAATCTACAGATTCAATGCAAACTCTATCAAAATCCCAGGGATGTCTTTTGCAGAAATAGAAAAACCCATCCTAAACTTCATGTAGAATCTAAAATAAACAAACAAAACAAAACAAAAGTTTAAAAAAAAGAATAATTTTGGTGAACTCAACTTCCTGACTTCAAAACTCATCAAAACAGTGTGGTACTGGCATAAAGACAGACATAAAGATCAATGGAAAGGATAGAGAGCCCAGGAACAAACTTTTGTGTGTATGGTCAAACGATTTTTTTGACAAGGATGCCAAGACCGTGCAATGGGGAAAGGACAATCTTTTCAACAACTGGTGCTGGTTAAACTAGATAACTACATGCAAAAGAATGAAGTTGGACCCTTACCTCACACTGTATACAAAAATTAATTCACAATGGATCAAAAACCTCAATATAAGAGATGAAACTATAAAATTCTTAGGAGAAAACATAGGGCAAAAGCTTCATGACATTGGATTTGACAATTATTTCTTGGATATGACACCAAAGACAATGATTTATTGGATGTGATATCAGAGGTGCAGGCAACAAAAGAAAAAGTAGACAAATTGGACTTAATGAAAATTTTAAAAATTTTGCATCAGGGGCATCCCTGGTGGCGCAGTGGTTGAGAGTCCGCCTGCTGATGCAGGGGACACGGGTTTGTGCCCCGGTCTGGGAAGATCCCACATGCCGCGGAGCGGCTGGGCCCGTGAGCCATGGCTGCTGAGCCTGCGCATCCGGAGCCTGTGCTCCGCAACGGGAGAGGTCACAACAGTGAGAGGCCCGCGTACCGCAAAAAAAAAAAAAAAAAAAATTTTGCATCAAAAGAATATCAACAGGGACTTCCCTGGTGGTCCAGAGGTTAAGACTCTGGGCTCCCAGTGCAGGAGGCCTGGGTTCAATCCCTGGTCGGGGAACTAGATCTCGCATGCTGCATCTAAGAGCCCGCGTGCTACAACTAATAGATCCCTCATGCCCCAACCAAAGATCCCACGTGCCACAACTAAAGACACAGTGCACCCAAATAAATAAATAAGTAAATAAATAAATATTTTTTAAGAAAAGAATATCAACAGAGTAAAAAGGCAACCCAGAGAGAGGGAGAAATATTTGCAAATCATATAATGAAGGATTTATATCCAGAATACATCGTGAACTCCTAAAACTCAGCAAGAACAAAAAAATTCAAAAATTGGCAAAGGATTTGATTAGACAGTTCTCCAAGGGAGATATGCAAATGGACAATAAGCACATGAAAAGGCGCTCAACATCTTTAGTGATCAGAGAAATGCAAATCAAAAGTATAATGATGTACCACCTTAACATTCATTAAGATGGCCACTATTAAAAAACCCCAGAAAATCATAAGTATGGACAAGGATGTGGAGAAATTGGAATGCTTGTGCACTGTTGGTGAGAATGTAAAATATTACACTCACTGTGGATGATTCCTCAGAAAATTAAGAATAGAATTACCATGTGATCCAGCAATTTTACTTCTCGATATATACCCAAAAAATTAAAAGCACGGTCTTAAAAAAATAAAAATAAAAATAAAATAAAATAAAAGCAGGGTCTTGAAGAAATATTTGTACAACCACGTTCATAATAGCATTATTCACAGTAGCCAAAAGCCAAATATCCATCCACAGATGGATGAATAAGCAAAATATGATACATATAATGTAATATTATTCAGATTTAAAAAGGAAGGTGATTCTGACATATGCTACAACATGGATAAACTTTGAAGATATTATACTAAATAAAATGACAGTAACAAAAAGACAAATAGTGTACGATTCCACTTATGTGAGGCACTTAGAGTAGTCAAATCTTTCTTTTTTTGTACGCAGGCCTCTCACTGTTGTGGCCTCTCCCATTGCGGAACACAGGCTCCGGACGCGCAGGCTCAGCGGCCACGGCTCACGGGCCCAGCCGCTCCGCGGCATGTGGGATCTTCTCGGACCCGGGCACGAACCTGCGTCGCCTGCATCGACAGGCAGACTGTCAACCACTGCGCCACCAGGGAAGCCCGAGTAGTCAAATCTTAAACACAGACAGTAGAATGGTGATTGCCAGTGACTAGGGAGAGGAGAAAATGAGGAGTTATTGCTTAGTGAGTATAGAGTTTCAATTTTACAAGATGAAAAGAGATATGAAGATGGATGGGGTAATGGTTGTACAACATGATGAATGTATTTAATATCACTGAACTGTACACTTAAAAGTGATTAAGATGGGACTTCCCTGGCGGTGCAGTGATTAAGAATCTGCCTGGGGCTTCCCTGGTGGCGCAGTGGTTGAGAGTCCGCCGATGCAGGGGACATGGGTTCGTGCCCTGGTCCGGGAAGATCCCACATGCCGCGGAGCGGCTGGGCCCGTGAGCCATGGCTGCTGAGCCTGCGCGTCCGGAGCCTGTGCTCCGCAACGGGAGAGGCCGCAACAGTGAGAGGCCCACGTACCGCAAAACAAACAAAAAAAAGAATCTGCCTGCCAATGCACGGGACACGGGTTCGGGCCCTCGTCTGGGAAGATCCCACATGCCACGGAGCAACTAAGCCCGTGTGCCACAACTACTGAGCCTGCAGTCTAGAGCCCACGAGCCACAACTACTGGGCCCACGCACCACAACAACTGAAGTCTGCGCTCCTGGAGCCTATGCTCCACAACAAGAGAAGCCACTGCAGTGAGAAGCCTATGCACTGCAACGAAGAGTAGCCCCCACTTGCTGCAACTAGAGAAAGCCCATGCACAGCAACGAAGACCCAACACAGCCAAAAATAAATAAATTAAATATTTTAAAAATTAAAAAAAAATGATTAAGATAGTGAAGTGAAATAAGTCAGAGAAAGACAAATACCGCAGGATCGCCCTTACATGCAGAGTCTAAAAACAAAAACAAATACAAGCTCACAGATACAGAGGACAGAGATTGGTGGTTGCTAGAGGTGGAGGGTGAGGGGTTGGAGAAATGGGTGGAGAGGATCAAAAGGCACAAACTTTGAGTTATAAAATAAATAAGTCATGGGGATGTACTGTACAGCATGGTGACTATAGTTAATAATACTGTATTGCATATTTGAAAGTTGCTAAGAGAGTAGACCTTAAAATTTCTCATAATAAGAAAAAAATTTTTGTAACTATGTAAGTTGATGAATATTAATTGGACTTATTGTGGTGATCATTTTGCAGTTATACAAATATTGAATCAAGTTGTACACCTGAAATTAATATGTTATATGTCAATTATATCTCAATTAAAAATTTTAAAAATGGTTAACATGGTAAATTTTATGTGTATTTTACCACAATTAAAAATTTGGAAAAAAAGAGATAAGAGACCAACAGGGACTTCAAATATTGAATTTATTAGATATAATCCATAAAACCACTATGCTTTTTTTCTCTTTTTTCTCTCAGCTTTATTGAGATATAATTGACGTATAAAATATATTAATTTAAGGTGTACTATGCTTTTTTTTTTTTTTTTTTTGCAGTACGCGGGCCTCTCACTGCTGTGGCCTCTCCCGTTGCGGAGCACAGGCTCCGGACGCGCAGGCTCAGCGGCCATGGCTCACGGGCCCAGCCGCTCCGCGGCATGTGGGATCTTCCCGGACCGGGGCACGAACCCGTGTCCCCTGCATCGGCAGGCGGACTCTCAACCACTGCGCCACCAGGGAAGCCCACTATGCTTATTTTTAAGAAATAAAATATAAGTTTGAAACCTTCATCCAAAAATTTGAAAATTGTTAGAAGTGATAGGTTTGAAAAAGAGCCAATGAGAAAATATAATAAATGAAATTATAAGCTCACTGGACATATTGAGCAGTAGATTGGACATAGCAAAAGAATCAGCGAACTAAGGAGATAAGTCAGATAAAATAAGTCTTGAAGTTCAGAAAGACCAAAAAATGGGAGGCAGGGGGCAAGGGGGACAGGGTAAGAAAGAAGATACAGTGAGAAGTTCTAATATACAGGGAACTGGAGTCACAGAGGATGAGAGAGAGAGAGTAGAGGCAATAACCAAATAATGATTGAGAGTTACCTAAAAATGACTACAGATATTCATAGATTCAAGAAGCCTAACAAATCCCAAGCATGATAAATAAAAAGAGATTCTCTATTAGATTCATTTTAGTAAAACCGCAGAAATTCTAAAAGATGTACATCAGAAGAAAAATGATTCCTGATTTGCAAAAAGGAATGAAGGGCAAAGGAAGTGGTAAACAGTGGGTAACTCAATATTTACTGCATAAAACAAAGTGTGTCTTGTGGGGTTTTAAAATGTAGAATTTAAATATTTAACAAAAATAGTACGTAAGTTGTGAGTGGAGAAATGGTAGTATTCTAAGAAGGAAGGTAAAGATACTGATTAACATTAATATTTGAAAATTAATGATGCACGTTTAATTTCTACTGAACTAGTAGAAGAGTAGAGACTTGTATGTCATCCATAATAGTAGAGTTAGAAAATAATAGGCAATAAAATAGTGGAATTGAGTATAGGGACAAATGAAAAATAGAAAACGGAATGGTAGCTCCCGCCCAAAATTTATCAGTAATTGCATTAAAATTCTTAGAACCAAAAAGGCTTCACTTAAAAAAAAAAAAGGCTTCACTTAAAATGCAAAAATTTCAGATTGGATTTTTAAAAACTAAATATTTCTCTTTCTCTCCCTCCTCTTCCCTTCCTATCCTGAACAATTTATTCCAAAAGTTATTAGGTGAGCATCTGTTTGCACAGGGAAGGAGGCTATGGCAGCCCAGATTGGGGTGTCACAGTCTGAGCCTGGTGAGAAGGGCATCCACATGGTGATTGAGGGGCTGTCCCTTCTGAGATGTCGCAATCCAAGAATAGTTAGGAGGGCATCCATGTGGCAGCAACCCATCACAGGATGTCAGGTCCCAAATGTGGTAAGGAGAGTGCTCAGGACACAAAGGAGCAACGTGGCATGAGGTATCAGAGCCTAGGTGGAGTGAGAAGGGATTTCACATGGGAGAGCTGCCTGGCATGTTTGATCAGAGCCTGAGACAGGTGAGGAAAGCCTCTCCACGGAGAGAGCAGCCTGGCATGAGGTGTCAGAGCCTGAGGGATTTTTTTCTTTTCTTTTTTTAAATAAATTTATTTATTTTATGTCATTCATTTTTTTATTTTTGGCTGCGTTGGGTCTTCATTGCTGCGTGCAGGCTTTTCTCTGGTTGCGGCGAGCAGGGGCTACTCTTCATTGCGGTGCGTGGGCTTCTCATTGAGGTGGCTTCTCTTGTTGCGGAGCACGGGCTCTAGGCGTGCTGGCTTCAGTAGTTGTGGCACACGGGCTCGGTAGTTGTGGCTCATGGGCTCTAGAGCACAGGCTCAGTAGTTGTGGCGCACGGGCTTAGTTGCGCCATGGCATGTGGGATCTTCCCAGACCAGGGCTTGAACCTGTGTCCCCTGCATTGGCAGGAGTATTCTTAACCACTGCGCCATCAGGGAAGCCCATGAGGTGTTTTTTAACAGACCTTCAGGGGCTGTAGATAATGTGATATCAAATATAGCCTAAAATTAACTATCTAACTCATTTAAAGACATGAGAGACAAGATTTAAAATTTCAGGAAATGGGCTTCCCTGGTGGCGCAGTGGTTGAGAGTCCGCCTGCCGATGCGGGGGACGCGGGTTCGTGCCCTCGTCTGGGAGGACCCCGCATGCCGCGGAGCAGCTGGGCCCGTGAGCCATGGCCCCTGAGCTTGCGCGTCTGGAGGCTGTGCTCCATGACGGGAGAGGCCACGGCAGTGAGAGGCCCGCGTACCGCAAAAAAAAAAAAAAAAAAAAAAAATTTCAGGAAAGAGGGACTTCCCTGGCGGTCCAGTGGTTAAGACTCCATGCTTCCACTGCAGGGGGCACAGGTTACATCCCTCGTTGGGGAACTAAGATCCTGCATGCCATGTGGCATGGCAAAAAAAATAAATAAAAATAAAATAAAATTTCAGGAAAGAACTAGAAATTATTAAGCAAAAAAGAGCATAACAGATTTGAAAAGAAGCACATAGAAATTCTAAAATTGAAAAACACATGTACCACAATGTTCATCACAGCTCTATTTACAATAGCAACCTAAGTGTCCATCGACAGATGAGTGGACAAAGAAGATGTGGCACATATATACAATGGAATATTACTCAGCCATAAAAAGAAATGAAATGGAGTTATTTGTAGTGAGGTGGATGGACCTAGAGACTGTCTTACAGAGTGAAGTAAGTCAGAAAGCGAAAAACAAATACCGTATGCTAACACATATATACAGAATCTAAGAAAAAGAAAAAATGGTTCTGAAGAACCTAGGAGCAGGACAGGAATAAAGACACAGACGTAGAGAATGGACTTGAAGACACAGGGAGGGGGAAGGGTAAGCTGGGACAAAGTGAGAGAGTGGCATGGCCATATATACACTACCAAACATAAAATAGGTAGCTAGTGGCAAGCAGCTGCATAGCACAGGGAGATCAGTTTGGTGCTTTGTGTCCACCTAGAGGGGTGGGATAGGGACGGTGGGAGGGAGATGCAAGAGGGAAGAGATATGGGGACATATGTATATGTATAACTGATTCACTTTGTTATAAAGCAGAAACTAACACACCCTTGTAAAGCAATTATACTCCAATAAAGATGTTTAAAAAATAAGTAAATAAAATACAAAGAAAAAAGAAAAACACATTACGGGTAATTGAAATTGATAAGTTGATGGGTAGTTTTAATAGCAAATTAGACACAGCTAGGTAAACTGGAAAATCAAAAGAAATATCTAGAAAGAAGCATGGAGAAATAAGAAGAAAAGAAAAGATAAAGAGTACAGGGTAAGGCACATAAAGCCTGTAAAGGTCCAGCATGTATTTAATTAGATTTCCAGAAGGAGAGAAGAAAGAGAATGTAGCAGAAGTAATATATGAAGAAATAATGCCTGATAATTTTTGCTTTATTTCCAACAAACATCCTCAGAATCAAGGAGACCAAGTACCCCAACAAGGAAAAAAAAAAGCCAGGGAAGATTGGTTGAGAAATTATCAAATTCAGGAAATGGTAGGTGTTGCTGACAGAGTTCCTAAC